TCCTTCTAAGTGCCCTTGTACTGGTCACTTGGCTCCTGCTGCATCTGTGTGGTACAGGTTGGTACTTCTGGGAAGGAGAAGGGCATCCTCAGCTTATCCAGGTGGGCACACATGCTTTCCCCCAACCAGGTCTTTCTCCTTGAAGCAGGATACCTTAGCTCCAGCTGGGAATATACAGCTCCTGCTCTTTGATAAGCATCTCTCAATACCTGAACTGTTTCCTCCAAGTAAAAAGGATTCAATGGCAAGATACTTATATCACTTTTGTGCAAATATCAGATTACAGCATAGAAACCAGATTGTCTGCAATTAGATCACCGAATTAATAGGAAGACAGACATAATCCTGTATAATATGAAAGAGGTTCATTGTTTGCCTGCAGATACTGAAATTTCTTTGGTTAACCCTCAGAAAAGCACTGTTGTGTTTTCCAGAGTGGCACAGAATTTGATCTCTCTTTCTTTCAGCTTTGGGATGGGGTCCAAAGTTAATTCCCTGCAGATCACCTTACTTTATGAATAAGAGGAGCTACTCCTGCAATACCTGTGCTGGGAAAAAACAGCTGTGAATGCTGCTGGAGCTGCATGCTGGGAGCAGGAGAAATCCCAGGGTGCAGAGATCCCTCTCCCAGCCTGGTGGAGGGCTGGCTGGCCAGGAGTAGATGCTGGGCTGTGGGTCAGCTGCCAGGGGAAGGGGCAGCATGCAGCTGGTACCGCCCAAAGCAGAATGCCCCAAGCCTGCTGGTTTACACTTGACCCTCCAAAATAATTTTTTTCCCTGTTTAAGGCATGTAGAGGAGGAGGGATTGTATAACAGCAGGGAAGTGTATGAGCTGTCAGATGTGGTTTGCTTGTGATTACACCTCAGCTTTTGAATTGGATCCCTTTAGGGCTGGGACATTGGTGCTCACCAGCCTATCCAACATCCCGGCTTTCAAATACCTGAGAGTTTTGTGGAGCTGGATCACAGAGCCTGAAACTTGGTGTGTCATTTGTTGTGCCTGTGGACAGGATTCAGTGGTGAGCTCAGCAGTGCTGGGATAATGCTTGGACTTACTGATCTTAATGGTCGTTTCCAGCCCAAATGCTTCTGTTATTCTATGATGCTGTGAAGTTGTTTCTGTGACTCTGTGTCTTGCAAGACCGTAGGGCGCGCCGCTCCGGGCAGTCATGAAGTCCCAGCGCTGGTGCCAGAGGCTTTTTATGTTCCCGAAGCTGCTTCTGGCGGGAGGGTGGGGTGAGCCGGGTGGCGAATCCTCCCCGTTCCCCCCTCCGGAGGCGGCGGCTCCGAGGAGGAGCGGGATTCTCCCGATTTCCACCATCCTTGGGTTGTGGTGCCTCCTGCTGCCGGGCTGCGGGACGCTCCGCCGCGAACCCCGGGCCGGGGTCTCTGTCCCCCGCCCCGCCGGGCCGCGGGATCCCGGGATTCGTCCCCAGAGCCGCGCGGTGGCGCGTCCGTCCCGGGAGCGGCGGCGCGTCCGTCCCGGGAGCGGCGGCGCGTCCGTCCCGGGAGCGGCGGCGC